CACCGCAGCCTCGACCTGCTGGGTTCCAGCAATCCTTCCGCCTCAGCCTTCCGAGTAGCCAGAATTACAGGTGCACGCTACCACGCCCGGCTAATTTTTTAACTTATTGTAGAGATGAGGTCTCACCTGCTCAGATGAGGTCTCACCTGCCCGAACCCGCGGGCTCAGGCAATCCACTCTCCTCAGCCTCCCAAAAGCGTGGGATTACAGGCTGAGCCACCAAGCCCGGCTTGGGGGTGACTTTTCATTGTCTGCACAGAGCACATGTGCTCCTTCCCTATGGTGTATGAGCCCTGGGTCAGAGGTGTGACAGTGCGTGGATCTACTTGTCTTGTGGCTGCCCAAAGCTTTGCTTCTGTCTGTAAGTTCCCTTAGTAAATAAAAAACCAACAAACTGGACTTTCTGCCTCCTTCTTTGGCTTCTCAATTCCTTCTGCATTTGGGGTTGTTTTGCATATCTATCCCTTTCTCAGAGCAGTGGTTCAGCAGCCTTCATGAAAAGTTTGATTGTGCCCCTGGTAAGGCCTGAGCTTGGGCCTGGTCTCATGGTCAAAGGTTGGGCATGGTCCTCAGCTGGCCCAGCTGACACAGAGAGGCTGTGACCTCAGCCACACCGTGTTATGTGGCGTTATGTAAACAAGCTGACTTGCTACTGGACTTCTTGGAAGCACCAGGGAAGAGAAAGTGAAAGGACCTGTTCTTTTTTTGAGTTGGAGTCTCACTGTGTCACCCAGACTGGAGTGCAGTGGCTGCTCCTGGCCACCGCAGCCTCGACTTCCTGGGCTCCGGTGATCCTTCTGCCTCAGCTTTCCAAGTAGCTGAAACTACAGGTGCGTGCTACCACGCCCAGCTAATTTTTTTGATTTATTGTAGAGATGAGGTCTCGCCAAGTTGCCCAGGTGGGTCTCGAACCCTCGGGCTCAGGCAATCCACTCACCTGTTCTTAGGCAGGGCAGCCAGGCGAGATCCAGCAGGTGCTGGGGAGGACACACCTTTTAGCCTCTAGGACTGAGGGATGGAGTGCAGGGGTGACCCAAGCTGTGGCGAGGCCCTGCCTGGCTACCCTGCCTATCTGGTATTTGCCACTGCAGGAGAAACTCCCCTGCAAGGGTGGGGCCCCAGCCCTGCAGCCTCAGCTCCCAGCCGCAATCCCACACACCCAGTATTGATGACTTAACTACTCACAGGCTCACTTTTTAAGCCTCATTACCTACAGTGGACACACCATAAGCAATATGAATCTGTAGTCACTCTTAATGCACTATTTATAGATATGCATTTGTCTAATACACAATAATTGATCACAAAGCATCAAAGGACTGTTGAGGACATGGCTCCCAGATGGACTTCAGTCACGGCTTCAGTCCCAGATGGACTTCAGCCACGGCTCCAGTTTTCTCTTCCCATTGCCCAAGCCCCTGGCCTCCTCTAAACCCTGGGCCCTGGATTGCCACGAGCAGTCTTGGTCCTTCCTCCTCATTAAAGCCTCTAGAGGGTTCCAGAATCTGAATATGGGACACACGGGTATGTTCTCTGTCACTGTGTATGTGCATGTGGAGGACTATGAGGCCCAGGGATGGTTCTGGCCTTCAAGGATGGGGCAGGAGGTGGTCCTACCTGGAAGTCTGGGTCCCCATCGCCCAGGTAGCCACCATGGATAGGTATGAGTCCAGCCCCCTCTGTTAAACCCCACCCCTGCCCTGCACAGTCCTGTGTGCAAGGGGAGAGAACCCAAGCCTGAGCCTCTTGTGGACCCTCTCAAACACACCTTTCCTGTTGGAGAACCACAGTGCTGTTCAACAGGCCCGAGACAGGCATTGCCCCATCGCCAACCATGCTTCCTGCACCCGAAGTAGTCAAAAGGCTGACAGTGTCTCTCTAGGCTAAAAGCAAGGGGTGGGCAGGGCTGATCACTTCTTCTTTTTTTTTGAGTTGGAGTCTCACTCTGTCACCCAGACTGGAGTGCAGTGGCAGCTCCCGGCCACCGCAGCCTCGACCTGCTGGGCTCTGGCGATCCTTTCACCTCAGCCTTCCAAGTAGCTAGAACTACAGGCATGTGCCACCATGCCTGGCTAATTTTTTATTTATTGTAGAGATGAAGTCTCACCAAGTTGCCCAGGCAGGTCTCGAACCCGCGGCTCAGGCAATCCACTCACCTCAGCCTCCCAAAGCGCGGGATTACAGGCTGAGCCACTGAGCCCGCCTCTGATCACTTCTTGAGGGGAGAGTCCTTTATTTGTCCTTTCCAGCTTCCAGGGACGCCTGCATCCCTCAGCTGGGGCCCCTCTGCCACCCTCCAACCCTCTCTCAGACTCACCTCCTCTCACCTCAATTCCCCTGACTCACCTTCCCTCTCCTAAGGACCCCTGTGATGGCATTAAGGACCCACCTGAAGAATCTAGGACAATCCCCATCTCAGGGTCTCTATCTTAATCCCATCCACAAAGTCCTTTGCCATGTGAGGTTCTGGGAATGAGGACATGGCATCTTTAGGGACTCTTGATCAGCCCACCACAGAACTCCCCATCCCCAGTAAGGCAGAAGATCAGGTCACCATCAGGCAGGTGAGATTCATAGGAGACCCTAGAAGGGCCTCAGCCTGGCACCCTTCCCCTACACATTCCCCCTCTAATGCCCGTGCACCTTCCTGCTGCCCAGGCACTCCCTGGGACTCTCATGGTCCCCCTTGTCCCCTGCTCAACTTTGACCAATGGCCAGGGACTTCGTTCTTGGACTGAGGATTGTGTCTGAGTCCAGCCACTGCATAGACATCCATGAGCACCCAGGCTCAGCTACCCACTTTGGAGAATCCAGATGGGCAAGGGAGGGAGGAGACAAGCTCTTCCTGGGCTGCTCCAGGGGAATCCAGTCCTAACAGGAGCTAGGGGCATGAGTCTGTTTTGAAAGTGCTACCTTTGCCCCCTTGAGCGTCATGTCACGGGAACTCTGTTACCAAGTCAAAGGTCACTGGGATCATTAGAACCCCACAGAGTGCTATGTCCAACCCCACCCACCCCCAAATACTGGCTCTCTCACACATTTTTATCTCAGTCACATCTGTACCTCAGCCTTGACTCCACAGACGGCTATACCCTGGGCCAGTCCCCAATAGGAGGTGAAACTGCAGACCTCAGTGGCCAGGTCCTGGAGGCCTCCAGGGCCAGTGCCTGGAGCCTCCTCCTGCCTACAAAGTGGCTGTGTTCACTTTCCCCCAGCCCTAGTTGCCCCAAGCCCCTGTCCCAGTGGAGGGTTCTGTTACAACTTATAGTTGCTCCAAGATGCCTCCTGCAGCTGAGGGGTGGACTCTCTGGTGCCTGCTTGTTTCCAGCAGGGCAGGGGTCACAAGCCATCCTAGTGAGGGTGAGGGTGGCAAGAGGGAGAAGCCAGTACTGTCCCTCTCTCTGGTCTCTGTCTCCTCCATGGTCTCAGCTCCTGGCTGTCTGGACTTCACTTTTCTGGGGATGCCGCCTCCCTATGAGTCCCTCCTGTGGTGGCAGCTGCTGCTTCTCACCCCTGGATGATCTTACCCCCTTTGTGGGCCCTCCCTCCCTTTCAATACCAGGTAGATGCAGAGAAAGGCATGACTTTCTACTGAAAACAGGCTTAAGCTACTTACTTCCCTGTGGACCACTGCAGAAGCCCGGGGCCCTATAGCCAGACCTAGGAGACCACTGTCCTTGGCTTGTGAATGACTTTGAAGAGCTCAGGGGAAGCCCGGCTCGGTGGTTCAGCCTGTAATCCCGCGCCTTGGTAGGCTGAGGTGAGTGGATTGCCTGAGCCCGAGGGTTTGAAACCCGCCTGGGAAACTTGGTGAGACCTCATCTCTACAATAAATCAAAAAATTAGCTGGGCGTGGTAGCGGGCGCCTGTAATTCCAGCTACTTGGAAGGCTGAGGCAGAAGGATCGCCGGAGCCCAGCAGGTCGAGGCTGTGGTGGCCAGTCTGGGTGACAGAGTGGGACTCCAACTCAAAAAAAAAAAGAGCTCAGGGGGCAGGAGTGGGGGTGGGCCACAGGAAAGAAAGCAGCAGGCCTGGAGGCTTCAGACTGGGAGTATCTGCTCGGGCAACAGATGTCTGCAGCACCACACTGAGCAGCAACTTTTGGTTGTTGAAGGGAATCTTCCCTATTAAGGGAAAGTTCAACTGGTGACACAGGGCCCTTTCTTGGGACCTACTCGAGGTACATCCAGTTACGTGTAACTTTCGATAAAACAACCAATCATGTCACGGTATGAGTATGTCCCATGCAACACTTGGGACATATCTATATTAAAAAAAGGATTCAAGCCGGGCTCGGTGGCTCAGCCTGTAGTCCCGTGCCTTTGGGAGGCTGAGGTGAGTGGACTGCCTGAGCCCGCGGGTTCTAGACCCACCTGAGCAGCGAGACCTCATCTCTACATTAAATCAAAAAAAAAAAAAAAAAAAATCAGCCGGGTGTGGTAGCACATGCCTGTAATTCCGGCTACTTGAAGGCTGAGGTGGAAGGATCACTAGAGCCCAGCAGGTTGAGGCTGCGGTGGCCGGGAGCGGCCACTGCACTCCAGTCTGGGTGACCGAGTGAGACTCCAACTCAACAAAACAAAACAAAACAAAACAAAACAAATTTTAAAAAAAGGATTCATTACCTGAAATTCAAATATAGCTGAGCATTCTGATTTTTGTTTGCCACTCTGGCTGCTCTGAGTCCTCTTGCTGCTACCCTCCCACTGGCTCTGGAAACAGCCTCAGGCTTGAGTGAAAAAGGTGCACTTGCTAGAATCCAGAGTGGGGAGGCCAGGGAATCACAGGAAAGTCACAGGTGGGGAGGCTGGGAGACCAGGTGCATGGAGCTTCACAACATCTAGAACTAGAAAAAAACAAGGCAACCGATTTCTCTCTAATCAAGGCACGAGTTGGCATGTGAGCGCCTGCATCCCTCAGCTGAGGCCCCTCTGCCACTCTCCAACCCTTTCTCAGACTCAGCTCCCCTCACCTCAACTTCTCTGACTCACCTTCTCTCTTTTAAGGACCCCTGTGATGGCATTTGGGACCCACCTGGAGAATCTAGGACAATCCTCCATCTCAGGGTCTCTAACTTATTTCCATCCCCAAAGTCCCTTTGTCATATATGGTTTTGGGAATGAGGACATGGCATCTTTAGGGACTCTTGATCAGCCCACCACAGAATTCCCCACCCCCTGTAAGGCAAAAGATCAGGTCACCATCTGGCAGATGGGATTCACATGAGGAGACCCCAGAAGGGCCTCCGCCTGGCTCCCTTCCCCTACACATCCCCCCTCTAATGCCTGCGCACTTTTCTGCTGCTCCAGCACTCCCTTGGACTGGGGATTGGGTCTGAGTCCAGCCACTGCATAGACACCCACCAGCACCCAGGCTCAGCTACCCACTTTGGAGCAGTCCAGATGGGCAAAGGGGGGAGGGGTCAAGTCGGTTCCCTCCCTGCCCTCTGCACCATCCTACCCTATCCTGGAGACGGCAGAGATGCCCTGCTGCTCTTCCTGGGCTGCTCCAGGAGAATCCAGTCCTTCCAGGAGCTGGCGGCATCTGAGTCTGTTTCGAAAGTTCTACCTTTGCCCCTTCAGGCCAAGCATCATGTCACGGGAACGCTGGGCACCAAGTCAAAGGTCACTGGGATCCTCAGAGGCCACAGGATGCTATGTCCACCCCACCCATCCCAGAGTACTGGCTTTGCTCATACGTTTGTGTCCCAGCTGCCTCTGTACATCAGCCTTGACTCCACAGACACTTGTACCCTGGGCCAGTCCCCCATGGAAGGTAAAACTGCAGACCTCAGTGATCAGGTTCTGGAGGCCGCCAGGGTCAGTGCAAGCACCAGACCTCATACCCAGCAGCTCCTCCAGTCTGTGAAGTGGCTGGGTCCACCTTCCCCCAGTCCTGACTGCCCCAAGCCCCTGTCCTAGTGGATGGCTCTGTTACAACTTAAAACTGCTCCAAGATGTCTTCTGCAGCTGGGGGGAGGACTCTGTGGTGCTTGCTTGTTTCCCCCAGTCCTGACTGCCCCAAGCCCCTGTCCTAGTGGACTTCACTTTTCTGGGGATGCCGCCTCCCTGTGAGTCCCTCCTGTGGTGGCAGCTGCTGTTCTCACCCCTGGAAGATCTTACCCCCTTTGTTGGTCCTCACTCCCTTTCAGCACCTTCTTCGCTGGCTCCCCTACTGAATCCCTCCAATGTTGGAAACGGGGGAAGAGGGGCGAGGGGGTGAAGGTGCCAGGAATGACTTTGAAGGGCTCAGGGGCAGGGGTGGGTGGGCCACAGGAAAGAAAGCAGCAGACCTGGAGGCTTCAGGCTGTGAGTGTCTGCTCGGGCAACAGATGTCTGCAGCACCATACTGAGCTATATTAAAAAAGGATTCATTACCTAAAATTCAAATATAGCTGGGTATCCTGATTTCTGTTTGTTGCCATTCCGGCTGCTCTACTCCTGTCTGAGTCCTCTCACTGCTACCCTCCCACTGGCTCTGGAAACAGCCTCAGGCTTGAGTGAAAAAGGTGCACTTGCTAGCAACCAGAGTGGGGAACCCAGAGAGTCACAGGAAAAGTCACAGGTGGGGAGGCGGAATTGGCCAGGAGACCAGGTGCATTGAGCCTCACAACATCTAGAGCTAGAAAAAAAACAAGGTAACCAATTTCTCTCAAATAATAGGCAGGAGTTAGCATCTGAGACGGTGGTACAGATCCAGTGGGATCTGAGTAATCTCTGATCAAGGATTACTCACAGATTTGGAGCTGTTCACAGGGACACACCTTGGAATGTATGTCCTTGCATGATCTTACCAAGCACGCCTCTACATACCTGGTCCTGCTCCTAGGCCCTGCTTGTCCTGGCCTCCCATGGGATGTTGGGAACAGCCAGTGAGCTGAGTGAGTGCAAACTTAACATTCACGGGGTTGGGTACATTGAGTCCTGTGTGGTTAGCAGGGTTCTCCACCCCACAGCACCTGAATGGGCCTGCACTACCTTCCTGCAGGCTCCAGGGGTTGGGGCACACATCTGGCTCTGTGTCTCCATAGAAAGAGTTGCACAATGCTGATCTGCCTGCTTTCACCAACACCGCGTAGGGGCGTGACAACCATTTCTCAGATGAGAGCTGCAGCCTGCCACCACCACAGAGCCCACCCTGCTGGCCTAAGGCACTCTAGCTCCTGCCCTGGTGCCTGCTGAGGTGGGCCAGGAGGGGACCCCAGGTGGGCAGCAAAGGACCCTCAGATCTGGCCCAGGCTACCCGTCCATTCCTCAGCCTCTGCTCATGCTGTCCCTCTGCTGGGTGCCTCCTGTCCTCCTGCTCTGGGCTCACCAGCCGCCTCCTCAGAGGGACCCTGCCCACTTTCCAAACAGCCCAGTTGGAGACAGGCCCCACCCTGGCCCCTGCAGCAGGAAATGTGGGCCGACCAGAAGCCCGGGGACCTCTACCCACAGTGGTTCTCAAACTGCAGATGATTACCCAGCAGCGGGTGGGGAACTGCATTTGGAGTTTGCTAGAAGTCGAAACGAGAATGAGAAGGGGCAGCTGAGTGCCTGCCGTGGTTAGGGGAAGTCTTGTGTTTCATTTCTGTGTTGGGAGAGTTAGTGGGTGTGCGCGCCGTGAGTGCACACCAGGCTGTGGCTGGGAGCGTAGTTGCGCGCGCGCCAGAGTGAGAGCGTGCGCGACCTGGTTCTGCTCCGGGCTTGGTGGCGTCGCCAGAATGCGGTATCCCTGTTGACGTCCCAGGACTAGGAAAAGCGGGAGCTCCGACACGACTCAGTGGACGCCAGAAGCGAAGATGCTCCTTCAGGAGCCGAGCCGGCAGCACCGTGCAGACGCGGGTCCCCACCTCGACCCACAACCCTGTCCCCGCCCCTGGCTTGCGCCCCATGCGCCCCTGCCTAGCAGACTTGGTCCGGCGCTCAGGGTCGGCCTTTGAGGCCCCTGGCGGC